AGAAATTTCCCTTGACAAATATAAACTGAGGGTTGTACAGGAGGAAAACTCGAGATAAAGAAAAGTCGGTATGCTTTATCGTCTTGGGAGCATGAATGTCTGTACAAACTTTAATGTTGGTTTATACAATAGTTTGTGAGATAATTCAATTCGAACCAAAGTGGTTAACTCAGACGATAATTTCAATCACTTCGTCTTCTTCTTCTTCTTCTTTAAAGGTGGACGGGATCCGTAATGTTTCATTCCCCATCCCTCATCCCATCGTCTCTTGAGGCTAAACCAGTTCACTCAATCCAGATTCTGAGCGGGCCTGAAGGCCTCTCTCAGCAGCCCATGCATCTCTTCTCCAGTAACTCCCTCGATATCCAAAAAAAACGTTTTTGCCGCATTGACAACAATTTTGATTCTTTCTGACTTTCTCTCAGCTTCAGCAGCACAGTTAATCACCAATGGCAAAAAGGCAAAGAACTTAATCTTGTCGTTACCGAATCAGTATTCTTAATGGTCTCTATCAGATTCTGTTTCCTGTTGTTTAAGCCATTTTCTTTCCTTCTCACTTGCCCTTGGTTGGACCTTCTCTTTGATTTCCTCTTCATACTTTCCATCTCTCTCCTTCTCTTTGGTCAGTCTGCTCCCCAGGTCTCATAGCTGAAGACATGTTGTGGTCGTCTAACTGCTTCGATGACAAAGCCTTCCTTACTTTCATCTGTGACACACACTCAACAACAATGAATCCCTTTTCACATCGACTAACTTGACAGCACCAAGTTTACTCTTAACCCAACTCGCTACTTCGTGTTTGTCTGACAAAACTCTACAGTCATTGACTCAATCAGTCAGTTTTATTCAAATCAAAAAGGTTTCTGTCTCATTTTCACCCTCTTCACTAGAACTTGACATTTTCGCTTCTTTTAATCTTTTCCCTCCCATATTTCTTCCTGCTGCTTCTTTCAAACTCCTCCATGGTCTCTCTCTTGCCTTGTCAGTCGCTCGCCACCTCAAACAGTTAACCCTCAGCCAGCCATCGCTTCCATGTAATGCACTTATAAATGGTACAAATCTTTTCAAACTAAACAAGCTGTCAGTATTGATTGACAATCTTCCTTGTATGTTGCCATGCCATGGCAATCACCCAAACAACATGGATGTGCATCAGTTTTACATGTGTCATTGTCTCGTGAAGGATGGGCGGAGGTGATAAAGAATTCATTGCAATTGATGTACCTTCCAGCATGTTATCTGTGATCGTTCTGCTGTAAATTATGCACCTTCAGAGTGTTGAACTTTGACCTGGTGAAGTCCAAACCCGGCCCCGGTTTTGTTTGAGAAAAAACTCATGAATGTTCAGCCGAGATATTACTTTGATCTATTTTTACTTAAAAACTCGAAGGAAATGCATTAAGGTATAGATGTCAATTATCCTCATCACATTTCTTCCTTTTGCAAACAACATAGGAAGTAAAACTATGTGTTGTCTTTGACTTAAAACATTGAGTAAATAAGTCGTACCAACATGTTTCTGCTGTGCTCCTGTTGGATTGATTTTTTGGGTGCAATAAACTGCTTTGTTTTCGCAGCTCTGCATGTTAAAGCTTAATTGATCTCTAGCATTTACATTATTGACCTTTATGTCAATGAGCAATTAACAATCAGGTGATTCATTATACCCAACAGCCGTTTTAACCAAGCACTCCTTATGCACTGAAGTTCATCACATAAAACAGGATAATAACTGAATCTCAGAGAATTAAAGCACAGAAGAGGAAAAATGTTCCCAGCTCAAAATCAGAAATGTCACTTCTTTAATCATAGGAGCATTTATTTGTAATCATTATAACTCACTGGGAAACATATTCAGCTCAAAGAGGCAATTATTTTTCACTGTCTGTTATCTCACAAGTCGTTTTTTACGTCCTGATGTATATGTTTTGACACTATAATATTTCTTGAGCTTCAAAGAATGAGTACTTAAGATAATGTTTCAAAGTACAGCTGCTCTTTTGACTGAAAAATAAAAACACCTGCCTGAAATCTGCATCTAAGAACCTGTTTGCTGCTCAGGAAAGCAGCCAAATGATTCCAAACTCCAGCAGAGGAAGAGCTTCACCCTAATCAAGTCTGTGCAGGTTTAGTTTTTTTTTCCTTTCCTTTAAATTTGCAGGCAGCTGCTGGTGGGAGAGGAGTTAATTAGAACCAACCACTAAGCAACATCATGAGAAAGATTTAAAGCAGAATCTTGCCGCGTGTGAGCACTTAAGTGGGGGGTGGGGGGTTAGCACGGCATAAAATGCTGCCATGTGGAGAAGTGGAAGAGCTTGATTATACTGCAGCAACTCTTCCTCCCCATCATCAACATGACATTCTAACTTTACTTCATCAGCTGCACTTTCATGTTGTGAAATTGTGCTTAAAAATGTTGGTGGAAGATGTTGACTTGTTCTGAACAGTGAATTTATCTGTAAACATGTGCCATCATTTTAGTGGTTACGCTTTTTTTTCAGCAGTTTCAGTATATAGTTGTTTGAATTCATGGTTTAAAAAACAGTAACAGATACTTTATCATCTACCTCATTATTTTGAAGAGATGCCCGAAATAACCCGTTGTGCCATTTCTTCTTTGCAAATATTGCCCTCTTGTGGTCCATGGACTATCTCGCAAGACTTCATTGTATGTTTTTAGAGGAAACGTCTCAATTATAAAAATGTTTCCTTTAGATGTTACTTTCTGTAACATAATATATTCACAATCAAATTAACACGTTTCCTTTGTCATATAATATCTGTTAAAACAAAACCTCATCCATTTTTAGATAAATTCCAAATTGTATTCCCCCTTTTTAATTTAATTTTTAAATCTATAGTTGGTTTTGAAGATTAGTAAAGTGAAAAACAGGATTAAAGACACGTGTTTTAATTGAATCTACTCGATTCAAACATATTCAAAGTTTGCATACACAGACATGTGTATGTACATACTATTGCACAGGGTTAGTATACATGGCTGTGTTTATGTTTTGCACTGGGGTGAGATACATGGACGTATGTATGTACACATGTCCTAATTTGCTTAATATTATACAGGTTACATTTGAAGGTGTTTTGACATTTTTAATGTGGCTCTGGAAATAAAGTGAAGTATCCAGGTTGACTCCCAGGTACTTAAACAAGTAGTAGTTCTTCCCCTTCCAAGAAAACATGCGGTGTGAGGTCTTTTCTACACGAATAGAAAATAAAACATCATGCAACATCATGTTTTCTTAATTTTTTTTATTAGGAGGCAGGATTTGGTGAGTCAGTCCTGGACGTGAATCAACTTTGATGTGAGAATATCTTTGATATTTTGGCCGGTATAATAATTCCTTCATCATCAGAAAAAAAGATGAAAAAATTATGTTTTTTTTTAATTATTTGAAAGGAAATTGAAAGTTTCCACAAAAGCAAAGACAATCACTAAAAATGTATAAAATAAACTGATTTAAGTTGACTAAAATATAAATATACAGTATATATATTCTATTTAAATTGATGAATTCATTTAACTAAATTTTAGGTGGATTCAACTTTTGATAAAGTATTTTTGATTTCAAGTCAAAAGAAATTGAAAGAGTATTTTGCCTCAACTAGATCATTAACAGGAACTGAATTGTGATCCAACATTTTTGATGGCTTAAAGATTTAAGTACAACTGACTTGATGCCAAGTTTATTTGACTAGAAATGTTCTTTGAAATAATCACAAATGTATCTCAACGTATCTTTTTAAGTTCTGTTAACTTAAAATTTAGGGCAGCCAGGACACTAAGTTTAAGTTATAACTAGTTTCTCTTTTACAGTGCAGAGGCACACAGCACATTTTAAAAGAGTGGCTAACTCATAATGCTAACCCACACTTTGAATTCAGCTTCTTCAGAGTCCTCCTCTTCATCCTCCATATTATCCTCAAGGTGTGGCATCACATTATTCTTCACTCTGTTAGCATCCTCTTTACTGTAGTCGGCATTTTGTTATTATCACCACCACAGATATCACTCACTGTTTCCTAATTTCCTTATTTTAAAGGAAGTTCTTAATAATCTGCTTAGAACAAACATATGTATCTCACCAAGATGATTCAAAAGTGTACATCCTTAATCTGGAAATCCTCTGAGCGAAGATCAGCTTTTAGGGGACTGTGTGGAGTAGCAGGGGAAACATTACCATGTAGCCACCACTAGGGGGCTCAACTGAGCTACAATTTAAAAGGTCTAATGTTCTACAAATGCCATGCCCATGATAAGTATAAACCCCAATATAGTCAGAAAACGGAAGAAAACACATTTTTTTCTTTTGAGAAAATAATTTATTCGGGAACACAATAAACATGTTTCCTCACATTAGTAGATCACACACACCACCTTTCTTCAACAAAATCACCCAGTGTTCAGTAACAGATTACATCATGTGTTGGCCAGTGTGCCTCCTCTTGTCAACTCCACATCTTTTACCTTTTTTTCCTGCTTTAAAATGTTGGTTAATAATTAAAGCTGCGTAATAATGAACTCTGAGCCCTGAAATACCAATCCGCGCTAAAATGCTAAAATCGCACAATTGTAGGCAATATTCATCTCAACATGAGCTGTATTTTCTGATTCATTTATACATGTCAACTCATTGGAGGTTTAATCTAAGTAATATTACTCAATTATTTTCAGCTTCCAAGTAATAAAGAAAATTGAGCCCACAACTTTAAAAACAAACTGTTTGAAGCACTGGGGTTAAGATAAGTACAGTGGAGCATATTAACAAGGTAAAACAACACTTCAGATCCCACACCCCATGAGAGAATGATCTCAGTGTTCATGACATGATTTGGTCGAATGCCGTCTGACACTATTTCCTAACACATTAGTATTGAAACAACAAGAGAATCCCTCCTAGTTGGTTATTGCCATTATTTTTGTAATATCTGTTCCCTCAAATATTCAAATATAGGCCTACACTTTTTAAATATATATATTTATGTTTTTTTTTTTTTTAGACTTTGTAGAGTTAAAGTGAAGACGTTTTGGTTTTTGTTGATCAGAAGTGGTGACATGACACAGTATACACTTACTGTATGTTTACTCATCAACACTCACACTCTGATGCGTTTGCACATGTAAATAATACAAGACCCAAAATGCATAACAGTACAAAATACAAAAAAGATACCCCAAATAATCAAATGTAAAAAAATACATCCAAATTATACATCCAAACCTGCATTTTTGTGCAAAGTTGGGGGGAGGCAAACATCTAAAAAAAAAGAAAAAGAACACAAATGGCTCTCACTGCGGACACTGGGTTTGTGCTGGTGTTGTCATTGTTCAGCTCATTTCTCCTATGAGTCAGAATAAATCCAAACCACACCTGATCTTTCTTTAACAGAGAGCTGCGGACACTGAACCGTGAACTGTATCATCTCAGGGCAGATGTTGGCCATAAATGCCTGGCAGTTGTTGTTAGGTCTTTCTGACAACAGATGGCGATAGTGACATTTGGTTTGTGGGACACAGGATGACCGACAGCCTATAAAAGGTAGATCTTTGCTGTCAGCCTCGTAATTTAATGCAGATTTTCTTTTAACCTAACAGGTCCATAGAAAAATAAGATTCCAATTAGTTTCATACAGTGAGGTTTACAGATTTGGATGTTGGGGGGAAAACGAGGCATCGTGATTGGATCAGGAAGTTACATACTGTATCTCCTTAGTTTAAAAGGGATTACATTGTATGGTAAATCCCTTTTTTTAAATGAAAGCCGAGTCAGCATGCTGTGATTAATAACCGGACCCAATTGTATTTTCACAGAACAATCTCCACAAAGGGAGGATAAAGTTAAGCCATTTACGTCTCAAGTGTCAAGTGTGTCGCCAGAGTAAAACCAAATTAATTTTCATAAATGCTAATAATCTGTGTAATAAAGTGTTAGTGCTGAAATGGTTAGTTACTTAATGGATATATTGATCAAGAGAAAAAAATGACAGAATATGATTTTGTCTCTATTCAGAGTAAAAAATGTGAAATGTTTGCTTGCTAGTTCAGTCTTCTTAAATACAAAGATTTGCTCCTGTTTTTGCCACTAAGGAGAGGAAATGTTTTTGGCAATTGAAGATGTAACTTTAGGTTCTGAGATGCTCTTTTGTGTCTTTTGTCGTTTGTCATTGTTAGCTGCAGCATTTCATTCTCTCAAATTTTATCCCACATTTTTTTTTTTTTTTTTTTTAGAGGTTAACAAAAAATATGAATGCTCAAAATCAAAATCATCCTTCAGCCACGATGACTCAGAGCCTTCTTTATACCAACTCATCATTTTACGGTTCTACAGTTTTCTGGAAGTGTGGGGTCCATTATATGACTTTTTCTAGAATGCTAGACTTCCTGCATCTCACTACTACTTCAAAATACTATGAAACCCAGGTCTTGAAAAAAACCTAAAATGCCTCACAACAGAGGTGGTTGTCAATTCTCTGATATTCTTTCATCATTTCAAACCATCCATCTGTTTCGTCACAGTGTTTCAGAATACAGATTTACTTGGCAGGACTGGAAGAAGCTTCCTAAGCCCTTACATCAAAGCTCTCTGACAGATTCCGGTTTTTAAAAAGTCTATAGGTCCCATTATTGCAGTATGATTTAATCTAGACATGTTTGAGATGGATTTCTACAAGTCACTGCAGTGTTCCTCCAGTCCACCCTGCTGTGCTGCTGCAGCTTCAAAGCTCAGCTCATCCCAGAAAAGAAAACAAGAGATACCATCTTTAAAATAAAATATTCCCTTTTGCCAAATCTCTTCTGCATGCATTGCCCTCGATCTTATTACACAATTACCAGTATTTGACAAACATTCCACTAAAATAAACATTTGGTTGAGCATTTCTGAGCACTCTTACTCATCACACCTCACAGCTCAGGTAACGAGAGAATGAACTGCTACACGCTGCTGAACTCCCTTTGAAATAGGGCCCTACATCAACCAAACAGCCGAGGGCATTTTCCCCAAATCAGACACCAAAGAATCATTGGCAAGGAAAAAATACTAAAGTGAACTGAGATGTTAACACCTAATGAGGTATTTTTTTTTTAATGTGTACCAGCCTTTGAGCAGCAGCAGAGGCTATCCTCAACCACTCAGGGGCTAGCTAGTACTAGGTCAGTGTCTGTGCAGTAGGAGAGTGATATCAGAGACGTGGCTGGACCCTCAGCTGATCAAAGGCAGATCAAAGAGTAAGGGGGCTCAAAGACATGGACAAAAGACCACACAGGGAACATCAGAGTCATCTAACTTTGCGTTATCATCCATGCTCCTACCAGTTCTTTCTATGGGTGACAAGGAGAGGTAAACCATCAACAATCTCCTTGCCTGCGCTTTAAATAATAAGGGAACAAAAAAAGGAAAAGGGGGTGTAAAGTGCATTAAATCAAAGTGATAGAATGCGACTGTGGGAATGTGCATGGTTCCCTTCTGGGGTTGATCCCTGCTCATGTCTGGTACACTTTCCTTTTAAGTGCCAAACACAAGTGCCAGGAGGATGTTATGAGCTGAAATAATGTGTCGAATCCCACTGTAATACTTAATTTCTCTATTCTACATTTTTCTACAAAACAACAGACATGAAGGGGGCCATAAGACCACCAAGAGAGAATTTGGATCACACCTACCAAACACAAAAATCACATGCTCCATCACAGGTCTTTAACTCTCGGTCTACACAGGCACACACACACACACACACACACACACACACACACACACACACTAGATTTGTGAGTTACACATACATACTACAAAGACGCTGTGTTGGTTAAGACAACAGACTAGGCTACATGGCCTTGGCGGTGATAAGCAGTGAGCTTCTTACAGGTGCAGTAAGTAGGCACCGGCTGCAGCACAGTCCTTGTTTAAAGTTAAAGGAGGCTTCTTGTGTGCTCTTGTTTTTCACTGGACTACTCTAAAGTGGTGCTCTCACTTTCTTTCCAATGCCAGTTTGACTTAATGTTTGTCATATTTGGTCAAAACCTCCATTTGCCAAGGATCTTTGTCGTGTACACGCGGAGAAAGAAACTGTTCCTGCTTTGAATTCAAAGTCTTCCCAACGGAAAAGAGCACAAAGGCAGTTAGTTGTTTGTGTTCCTTCACATACTGTAAGGTGACGGTGATTACAAAGGGAACCGTGGGAGGGAAGGCGTGGAGAATTGTTTGTTTGTGTGGGTGTGTATGGGAAATTTGGGTAGCACCAGAGGAGAAGGCAGAGAAAAGAGTTTAAGGTTCAGTTCAGGTGTCTCCTCAGTGCTGGGACTGTAGGGGCTGGAGAGGGTGAGAGGGAGAGAAGGAGAGAGAGAGAGAGTGACACAAAGGTTTATGCTTTTTCCTCTGTGCAGGAGCTCTCACTTAGGGGGCCACTTAGGCACGGTGGTTTCTGTTTCTCCCACTGGCACATGGAATTGGCGTAACCCACAATCACTTTGTCCATCCAGGTGAGGGGCTGGGGGAAGAGCACCGCACCCTCGAAGAAGCCCAGGTGGCCTCCGTGTAGCGTCAGGGAAAAGATGACATTCTGCTTCTTTGCTAAAGGATGACACAACACACAGGAATTAGGCCTCTGTACTCTGGACAGTGTGTACACAACAGTATCTGAAAGCAAACAGTCGACAAATGACCAAAAATGGCTTGAACAGGGATCGTATTGCGCCTGTCATAGATAGCGCGGGTGTGTTTGACTAATCAAACAGATAACAGCATCACTCAGCTTCTGGCAGGTAGATACCAACACATCTGGAAGTTTAAACCGATCTACAGTACAAGTGCCTTGACTGGTCTCTTAGGCGAGCACACTGGAACTTTTGTTTGCTTGACTGACACAAAAATGGCATTAAGAAAGTAAATACTCATGTCGGTTAAAAGTAAACAAGTTACTTCATTTAAGACTTAAATTTTAGTTTCATAAATTGACAGTAAGTGCCCTGACCTAAACCCCAACAAACTCTTGTTTCATGAACTGGTATGCTGAATCATTGACATCACATTATCACTTTGGTGGGGGAATTGGAGCAACTTCCTCCAGTTAGTGTCTAAAAAATAATGTGAATGACCTTCTAATAGCAGAGCAGTAATGCTCATGGTTTTGGAATAAGATGTTCAACAATCATATATGGGTGTAATGTTCAGGTGTCAACACCTCGTGAAGTGTAATAATTATCGACTTACAAAACAGAACAGAGGGCTACACCTACACAAAAGGATGTTAACACTCGACTCCAGAGACCTAAAGGTGTTGACAGGTGCTAAAATTTGTATTTTACCTTAGTCTTTAAATAAATCTGGTATTATCACCTCAGGGTTGCAGACCTTTGCAAACCAGTCAAGTTGCAGTTTTACACCCAGCCTGTGTTTCCAACAAAATGACTTTAACGCCATCTTATATGGTTGTGGGTGATTTTTTTGTATACCTAACACATTTGAAGGAATAAAGTACCCTAAAAATAAAACAAGAGCATATAAAAGATATATGTTAAACAGAAGAGATCACACCACAGCCATTTACAGAGGGAAGAGATTTTCCACTGATTGATCAGAGATGCTGTAGTTCTCTCATACTAATGTAACTTAGACAAAAAAACAAAGACAATATGTTTAAAACCAGGCGTTGCTAAGATATTGGTTTCAAGAGAGGGCGCTGGACATGAAGTCACAGTGACCTTAATCTTTGAACTCTCTGATTGAGTCAGTCAACCTTTGAGTCCAAGGAACATTTGTGAAACATGGGAAGATGTTCGAGTCAGGGTTTTTCCAGGAAATTATGATGTCACAGTAAAGTTGAGCTTTAAATCTAAAATGTCTTTACACCATAATTAAATTCAATTAGAAGTGTGCGTGATATTGTGTCATAAACATTGCATGAGTGCTTTAGTCATGATCAAAAACCATAATGACCTTAAGCTTTGACCACCAAAATCTCATGAGTTAACCTCGAGATAAAATGGTCGTCTGTGCCATTCCCCTCTGACATTCTTCAGATAAATGTATCCACACATATTAGAAAGGTGGAGCTATGTAGAGGCAGGCCACAAGATAACCAGAAAACATTGTGCCACCTGCCACAGTTGTCGGCAGCATAGTCATGAAAGGGGGAGTGAAACCAATCACCCATATATTATTTCAAGAAAAAAAAAAAAAAAAAAAAAAACCTTCAATAGTGCTACGGCTGTGGACAAGCAGTCTGAGTGGTCCCATGAAATGGATTAGCCTGAATCTTTTTATTGTCCTGCTTTTATCTGGGTTAGTGGGTGAGCCAGATGCGGTTGACTAGCGATTAAGATCCCACAGGGTTTTCACCACTGTGCACTATTCATGTCAGCGGCTGAGCTGCCATGAAACCGCCTAGTGCTCATTCAGACCCGGAGCCATTTCTATAGCAATCTCTGAGTGACAGGTTTGGAACAGTGTGCTCTGGAGAACACCTTGAACTTTAAAAAGACACTCAAACATGTTGCATGTGCTGCCACATTCTTTACATTCTGGCATGAAACCAATGATGCACTAATGAATCTGGGGGCGCCAATAGCCTAGTGGTTAGTGAGCTCGCCTAATGTACGGAGGCTGTGGACCCTAAGCGGGCGGCCCAGGTTTGAGTCAGACTTGTGGCTCCTGTCCTGCATGTCATTCTCCAATCTCTCCCCAATTTCTGATTCTATCCTGTTTCTACATAAAAAGGCAAAAAAAGCCCAAAAATAAAACAATATTTTTTTTTAAAAAAACCCATAAATGAATCAGAGGTATTACTAAATTTCAAGCTGTAAACTTATCAGAGATGTTTTATTCCAATCTTATCACATCACCAACAGGGAGTGTACTTCTGTCCTCTCCGGGTAGTCTTCTGTCTGAGTCACTGTGACATATTTTAGGGCAAAGGTGAAGGCTGATCCCCTCTACAGTAAGTGTTACTTTTTAGAGACACGTGCAGGACAGAGTCGCATGAACTTCCAGGCAGGACTCATCCGCCCACACAAACAACCTCACATGAGGGATTTTCCTTTTCCAAAATAGTTTAAGAGGCCAGTAGGATTAAATTTAGCTCAGGCTGAAGAGGAGGGACGCTTCATTAGACACTAGGTAACGAGGAAGCAGTCTAAGATTAGATTACCGGTAACTGTTTGGGAAGTGAGCTTTAAATACACTGTGAAATCAGTAGCAGGTAAAAAGTTAAATAATGGGAGCCTGAGTAGAAGTAAAACTATGTGGCGTGTGTATGAGTGAGTGTTACAGCTGCTTTACACACACCCACAGACATAAATCATAAACGTGACCTATCTGTAACATCTGTCCTCCTCAGGATGTGGAGCCAATTTATAAGAAGGCCTCTTGAGATTGGAGACACGTTTTTTTTTTTTTTTTTTTAAGAACAAAACTTTGGGTGTCAACTGTAACCATTATAGTCAGACAGGACAGGCATGTTCATTCAAAAAGAAACGATGACTCAATGGGCAACAGGGATTAAATATGTGACACAATGCATCTATAAGAACATGAAAAACTCCAGGGCAGAGTTTCCCTATACAAAGCCAACTACACACTTATTCAGGACAATCTAGTATCATATATAGTTTAAGTTGTTAGTATTATTAAAGATAAGATAATAAAATAACAGAAGCGGCATAAAATGCATTTTAAAATTATTTAATTTTCCTATAAGAAACTCTTTCAGTGACTCTTAGATCATTCTTCTCTCCATTTTTTATGTTTTTATTATTGGAAGACAACAATTAGCTGTACTTAAAATTTGGAGCTGCACTATCCAGAATCTTCAAATTACAGACAACAAAACTAGATCAACAAAAAGTATTCAAAAAACCAGTACATGCTTGAGTTTTTTATTTTTTTTGTAATACTAAATACATATGAAAGTGTTTCCCTTTAAAAGGTCTCTTGCTTATATTTCAGCCACAAGAGGAAAATATGAATCCCTCTGTCTTAAACACTGTTGGTACCAATAAATGAAATGTGAAAGTTAAAAAGTTAATGCCCAGTACGACATCACAGGAATGCCATACTTTATTTTAGTGAACATGGTTTAAAAAACTTGGAAGAATAACACTTCTGAAACACTAAGGTTTAAAACTGCTGCGGTTGTCATGATGCATGCTGGGAGTTACCTGCTAATGTCCTGGGAATGGTGAGCAGTGAGTCATGGACCAGAGGATCGTCTGCAGAGTTCACTAGCAGCAATGGCACCTTTACCTGGAAATACAAATCAGCCCATCGATTAAATACACAAACAAACTGAATAGAGAAACATTATCATATGATGATGTGAGTCTTGTGCAAAAGCAGATCTTACATTGTGGATATAATGGACACAACTCTCCTTCTCATAGTACTCTTTGAGAGAGCTGTGGCCGTGGAATTTTCTGTTGAAACACAAAAAATGAAGTGTGGGTAAACAAACCTGAAAAAAACTGACATAGCGAAACAATCAAAACAACACTGACAGGTATGAGCTTTCACTTATTTGCTTCTCAAAATACCTCATGATGTTGTCGTCGATCTGCATGAGGGACGTTGCTGTCCACAGCCGACCAAAATCTGCATCTAACCTTTTAACGGAGCTTCCTCCAAACAAACTGTGCCTGTAACATACAGAAGTGACAAAGGTACATACACAGAAAGACAAGAATCATTCATGAAAGTGTTAGTCTGCAAACTACTTAACTATTTGTGAAATGCAGTAAGGGACTTAACCAAATCACTGGGTGTGGAGGGGGATCTGAACATTTTGTTCAACTTATAATAAAAGCAAGATGCTCTTGGTATGACACAACATGGGACGGATTGTATGTGAGAATGTAATATGTCTGTGAGTCTGTGTAATGTCAGATTGAGCCTGGTGGAAAACAGAGCAGGTCACTGCCCTAGTGTTCTCTTTCTGCAAGTAGGTGTGTTTATCTTGTGGAACTAGCTGCGGTTGCTGCTGAGCAAATAACATGTCTTTTTTTTTTAAAAGCAGAAGTGATGTTTGAGAACTATCTCCAGGAGACCTCCTAACAACAACATTACACATGCCACTCATGTATACTATGGTGAAAGAATGTGAACTGCATGTGGAGGATACCTGTGTGAGAGGATGATTTTCTTCATGTTGTCTGCCATGAGAAAATTATAGAACCGTCTGAACTGGTCCCACTGTAGGAATGTTTCCTGGGCCCTGGGGGGGAGAGAGAGAGAGAGAGACACACACACAGGAAGTAAGCTTTGTGCAGCCCGTCTGCATTCCATACAACACACTAAACGTCCTGTGTAATCCACTGGACAAAGAGTCATGCTGGTGCAGAGAGAAGCAATGCTGTCAGGCATTACCATGCAGCTCACTGACAGAGACAGACTGAACCAGCACATGGACAAAAGATATCTCACTAAAAACTGAACATTAGATAATGTTAAAGTTAAAAAGTAATATAAAGTTTCTTAAATTAACCAGACATTATTTGTAGAGAAGAGGGACAGCTTAGGAGAAGAGCTGACAAATAGGTTGCAACCCTGATTTAAAAAGGAGATTCATTGAAAGGGGGAAAAAAAAAAAAAAAATCTGGATTACAATTTTACAAAAGAGCAGTGTAAAACAGACTCTTCCCCCTGCAGACAAATACATCAAACTTTAAAAGACCCAACCTGTCGTGTCTGCCTAGAAACTCGGGCTGCATTTAAACCAAGGAGGTGTGACTCAGTACAATGTGAGCACAAGCTGTAGATTCAGCTCTCATGTACTAGTAGTTTAGAAACCTACATGCAAAAATACAGGATGGTTTTGTTTGCGCTGTGTTCCATAAATGTGCCTCTGTGTGTTCACAAGATGTTTATCCTGGGCATGTAGTCAGACCAGCAGTTCAGTTCATTGCATTGTACACACATCAACCCTTCTGCTTTATTCCAAATTATTCAAATAAAAAGGTTTTAAGTCAAATGCTTAACATAGAATATCCAGGTTGAACACACAGACCATCCACATTACTGAGGGACAGCAACTGTGAAGACAAATGTACGTTTCAACCAGTGCAGAGCTCTAAAAATCGGAAGCTGAGTTTTTACAAGTCTGTTTCTTTAAGAAAAGGTTTAGAAAGTAATAAATGGTCATTTAAATAGTTCAGAGAAAAGCTGAAAGATTTAACAACTGGAAAGAGATTCTAGGTAGACCGAACCACATGGATGTAATCACTAATCATTCCTTGGCATTATGATGATTGATATTCTTCAATATTTTTTGAAGTGTGAACATCTAGAGCTTGTGTAATATAAAGGGGCTTAAATGGCAGTGTGCATTTTAATGAAGAGATGAGAGGACCCACCTGAGAGCGCTGTACCCCTGACAGACGCTGACACAACACAGCACTCGCTCCTGGTTTGTCATATTCTCTCCCAGGAACTTGCAAACAATGTTTCCACCCAGACTGAAGCCCACCACGATCAGCTGGGTCTGAGGATATGTTCGCTTAATGTAGCCAACCATGGAGGCAAACTCCCATGTGCATCCTGTAAGAAGAACGGTTCAGTTTTCAATCAATACATATCACCTCAGTAGGATGGAGCATTCGTCTCTGCTCAGCAATTCCCGCTGATGGTGCCTAGACTCAGGGCATTACACTCGTGTCCGTATCAGACCTTTTTAAAAGAGCTCAGGCCTGAAATCTCTTATTATCTCTTTTTCTGAAAGCTTTAGTGACTCATAAAGCCTTTAAGCTTTTACCTTGATGTTGTAATGAGATTTGTCTGGATGAAAGCTTTAAAAAAAAAAACTCAAACTAAACCAGATTAAAGCAAAAGAAGTTAATATGTCACCACAAAAATATATAATTATAAATATCTTTGAACATATAGTTCAGCTGTGCTCACTGTTATGAAAGGGTAAGTAGCTCTCACTGGCCTTAACCCCAGACGATTTGATTAGAGCTGAGACTAAGAAAATTATAAATAAATAAAATGCTGATTCAGTAATACTGATCATCAGACCAAAGAAAATCCCCTTTTCATTCTCAAATCTGGGTTATTATTATTTTTCAATACTCCTACTACAAAAATGTGATCCTGCACTTCATCTCTCAGATATGTCATTTGAAGTCAGCATCTTTATCTCACCGTAGGTAAACATGCGTGGAGAGGTCAGCTCAATGTTTGGAAGAGCTCCCAGGTGGTTCAGCACAGCGCAGCGGTACCCTTCCTTCTGGGCGTAATCCACAAAGGTTCGAACGTAATGTTTCTCACTATGGTTACCAATTCCAGGACATATCACCATGGTGATGTCATCTAGTGAAACAGACATACGGATCAGAGAGAGACATTTTCAAGTCCAAGTTATGTATGCGGATCACAATATCGAAGTTAAGGTCAGGGTTCAGCTGAGGCATTTAAAGAGAGGAAAACCATCTTTAAAACTGTAAAAGTAAAAAGTCCAGCAGAAAAAACTAAATGGTAGAAACCTCAGCAGAGGAGGAATCTCTGTTCCAGGACGGACACACTCAGTGATTGTAGCACCGTGTAGCATGAACAGGCTAAATAATAATAGCAATAAAATATTTAAAGGTACAGCATTTCAAGATATTCCACAACATAGATGAGATTTCTCCGTTTGGCACCAAATAAAAGATTCAATCAGTCCTCAACTGCTACAGCAAATAATGTCCAATAAAGAATATGTTTGTAAAAAAATGAATGTTAATCAAATTCATCACCTCCTGTTCGATGGTCCCCAACTGGCTCAAACAGGTCAAAGGTTGCAGTGGCCCCGTCCTGCATGGGTAAGTACTTCCTGATTCCACTAGGGTGAGGTGAACTCACCCGACCAAGTTTACCGTACAGAGCCGTCTGGAGGTGACCGCTCTTGCCCCACAGTAAGGGAGGAATGTACCTGCAAAACACAAACGTGGTATCTGCTATTACATTTGATATGGAAATATGAGCGTACTGTACTCATGCACTCAGTAAAAGCTCAAAGTAAGAGCCAAGAAAGACCATTAAACACCATGTTGTCCTGAGCAGATACATTTGCATTCTGGTTTATTACATTGACATTCTGGCTCCTAGTTTGCATACAAAGTCACATTTCTGTCGCAGCTTTTGAAAAACAGCTTTACGCTCCCAACTGACATCAGTCTGTTGCTTTGTTTTTATAAGTTATGCTGAGCATGGATACTTGAATCCCTGTGATACCTCTGTAGGAGTTAGCTGTAGGAGTCAAGTCTGTGGATTACATAATTCTCCTTTGAAACATTGTGCCTTGTGTTGTGCATTATCATGAATCACCATCTTATCCAGAAGTCCAAAAGGTGGTGAACAACCTGACAGGAAAACCGTGTCAGGAGCTATTTTTAGTCACGTATTATGAAGCCAAGGTTCATCAATATATTGAATAATCATCATAGTAGCTATAGAGATAACACCCAAGACATGTCTGTGTTTGCATTCCATGCGATGCTATAACCCTCTAAAAGGGGAAAAGGCATCATATCATGACTCCAAACCTCGGGGATAGCCTCGTCTGATAATAAGGCTGCCTGAATATACTTTTTGTATTTGATGGATCTTTATTCTATGGTTTCTTTCTCATGTTTAGCATTCTTTTATTTTCATTTTTCTCTTAATCCAATAAAAGATTGTTTTTTTTATTTAATTTAATTTGTATTCTAAAGTACTTTTAGAAGTAAAATAATACATAAAGAAACACAATGATGTTGATTATGTTAAGTTCCTGTGACACTCTTTAATAAAAAAAAACATGTTTTTTGGGGACGTTCATAAACATTTTAGCACAAAATTTAAGTCCCTCTCTCTCACTTTGTTTCAATTACATAACATCCTATCTGGTATGTTCTTGTCACACTTGTTGACAACGACATGTAGAGGGGCCATCTTGGGAGGCCATCAGATAAGATAAACAATCTGAAGCTCACACAGAGTGGACACTAATGGTCTTTTTATTGAACAGAGGTCCACAATGTAGAGATAGTAAGTAGCAACACAGAGCGAAAGGATCAGTTACGTTAGCGGTTACTCTGGTCCTTCAACCTGCCTCCGACTTACTATACCAACAACAATTACCGCACCTAGAAAACTCCCGATACATTTTGGGACTGTCAATCAAAAACCAGACTGCTTCCATTTGGTAATAATGTAATCACCTTTAGCATGCAGTGTTACTGTAAGCATAGCTCAAGCTTAACCTTGCTTTTCCAGAAGACGCAGGCTAAATCTATGACTACTGGGAGAGGATAACCTCACTGTTGTGATGTGGACAGAGGATAAGCGAATCGCAGGTTGCCTGAGTTCAGCAACAGACAAGATGAAAACACAGGCAGCATTTTATTGTATTGTTACAGTTTGAAGAGAAAAACCTATGAACAGGACGACTGAGTCATTTTCTAAGATAAAACTTCAGGTAAAGACTCTTCAGAGGTTTTGCTCCCTGATACAGGATAATGCTTTCTTTTCTTCAAATCCTCAAGATTTAAGAAGCAGGACTTTTATACAGCCCACTCAAAATTAGTGATGTTGCAACTCTTGAATAAAAAAATGTGTGTAATTCAAAAAGGTATTGTTCATTCTTTGGTTCTAATCTGTTAACCTTTTTGAATAAGAATCACAGAGCTGCCTTTAAGAGCAAATTGCACCCTTGAATAGCGTGTGCATGTTCTATTGGGTTTTAAAGCAAATAAGTAACAGAACAGGAAACAGACACGTCAGTGCCGTCTGATGATGAGAAGAGCATAAGTCCAGTTCAAAGTCCAAAGGTAAATTCAAAGGCCTTTGATGCTGGGAAGGTCGGAAAATACTTGCTGTGGGAAAAAATAAATTAAAACAATAATGGCATGTGCTGACTTTCTGCTAAATGATTGCTTGTAAAAACAGGGACAGAAGCCATCCTGTGGCTCATATAGCTGAAGAGATAAACATCACTTGCAGTAAATGCATGATGCTGTCTTGTACTAAACTGTGTTTTTGTTTTTCACTGGTTTACCTCTCCTTTATTTTTAACTTTGCTTTGCAGTTTTATTATTACAAGGCTCCATTTAAATATGTTGCTGCTAAAGGCCGTCGGGCATTGATCTGTTTATTATTAGCTGCTGGCTTGTAACCATTGGTGCGATAACATTCATGACCAAAATTAAAAAGCAAAATCCTATACAATGAGCTGATAAATGTCAGTGACTGCGAATGTCACTGATTAATATAGGCAAAATAATTTTCCTTGGAAAAAAAACAAGACAAAAAAAAAAACAAGCTAACACCAAGATGCACTCCAAGAAAAGGTCATCTGTCCTGGTTTGTCCTCCTCAACACTTGTGTGATGTTCCCAAACACAGCTGAAGAAAAACGTGCTGTTGACTCAGCTAATCTCACAACATCCCTCCTATGCTTTCCTCTGTGTAATTGATCTTTGTTACGCAACACTGCAGGGGGTCATAACAAATGTGACTTCTCAACAACACAAAGACAGAAAACAGACGATGCCAACATCAACACTGCAGACACTTTCAGAGTCTTGGGTCATCTCCGTTCCAGCTACACTCCAGGGCATACATTTCTGTGAGAAAAATATGGCTTTTCAGTAGAGAATGATAACAAGTGAGGCACAAACCCAAACACCACAGTGCCCTTATGATTCTGTGACACTGCAGCTGAAAGGCCGAGGGCTCAGTAACAATCGGTTATATAAGCAGACGCTTGTGATGGCTCCAAGGGAGAACACCCTACAGAGCTCCTCTGGAGTATTTCAACACCAGCAGACCACAGGACATCTGTGATGTTCATGCCACATTAGACGAGCAGGTAGATGTTTATGGCAAATTACTGGACATTAGTGCCAGAGTGCTGATCTAGTTTAACCTAACCAGGACAAAACCTGCTCACCATTGCCCAACAACTGATTTGCACCATTTATTATAAATCTGGTAGAGGTAGACCAGAGTAGACAGCAGACTTTCACTGATTGGGAGACTTGCATCTTTAAACATGCAACCTTGCTTCCCCTGCAGTGAAAGTCTATATTTGTATTGCAACTCTGACAAACCCAGTCTACCTTTGGGATAATCCCTGCAAACATTAGCCTGATGTTTATTCGCGCTACAACTGACGGTGAAACAAGACATCTCTGGCACAGAAATAAGGCAAACTCGGGAACACAGATGACAGATGGGACCACCGCCAGACAAACAGCTACCTTCACTGCAGCCCCAGATGGCCGAGTAGCAGTACAATTTCTATGGCAATGCCTTGATTCTTTGTGACAGACACAGAGCTGAGACAAAACTCACTCTTTGGTCAGTTGAGGACAGGACTTGAGCAGGAACCGGTTGAGAGGAGTGTCCTGGTAGGTGAGGTCGGGCGGTGCTGTGGGGCTCTTGAGGTTCAGGCAGCGGACAATGATGTAGAGCACCGTGGCAACCGCAGCCAGCTTCATGCCGTCGAACATGGCCGGCAGCTCTGGGGAGATCGTGTGCACGTCTGACTTGTGGGCGTTCATGATTATTCTGAAAAACAAACAAGTGGACAACACTACTATCAGTGCTTTCCCTTATGAAACACAGATAACAATATATTATAATACTTTTTTTCTCAAAAACACTTTCAATTAATTAAAATAGCATTTTTTAAAAAGACTTTTACTTCTTTTCATTACTTATTTAGAAGTGTTTTGGGCTCTTGGTCGACTCATACTATGCCAGAAAGGTGATAAAGCACAGAGAGGGAAAAGTGAAATATCTAATGATGTCTGACTGACCTAAATATCCCTCCTGGTGACCAATGCCCTGCAGATACAGATCTGCTGAAACAAAAATGAGGAGCTACTTAGTCAGATAAAGCACTGTCAGTTACTTTAAACACTCACTTTAATTACAATTCAGCTTCAACCATGGCAAGAGGAAGCTTTGCTAAATAGAGGATAGAAGTGCTAACATTACTTTAAATAATTACATTTTATTCACAAGACATTCAGGACTATAATCCTGAACAGAGAAACGCTGCATCTCTAATGCAACCCAGTTATAATACTTTTAGTTCATGTTGTATATGTTCCAGCTGGCATTGACCAAAATACAAATGAGATGTGAAATTACAGAGAAGAAAAAAAAAGAGGAACTGTTGGAAAGACAAAAAGACCAAAAAGTTCCTTTTATCAGAAAGACAGGGGAAGTTGAGGTGTTTTTAACATTGTTTACCAAGCAGTCACATGAAACTAAAGGGAGATAGCCACTTGTCAGCAATGAACATGCAGACAGATGATTATGAAATGATGCATCATAATGCGATTAACCATTATTTAAAAAAAATGTGGCTTCTACTCACCTTTGATGCTCAAGTTAGCCCCCAAAAAAGACTGAAGACCTGAAATGGGACGTCACAGTGTTGTGGTCAAACCTAAAGACAAAAACAGGAAATGCATTGGTCCCTTGATTATACTAATTGATCAGTATTAATATCCATTTTGTCTTATATTGTATATTTCAGTGGCTTGACTTAAAGTCAGCATTTTTACAATGACACAGAGATTTATAGTTTTTCTGATTAACTGAAATGAATTACTTTCATTCATATGACAATTAATGTCCTTAAAAAACAATGAAAGCTTCAAATGTACAAGTACAGAACGAGTAGTTTTTCATCTTCTGTTCTATAGTTAATAGTTTGGTTGAATTGTCACTTTTTATCAAAGCTTGATACAGACAAATCTCTAACACAATCGAGTCAATCTGCAGAAGTGAACACAATTTTCATTTTCTCCAGATATGGAGAGGTTTTGTGTGTCTGCACCTACTCCCTCTTAAGAAATACACTTCACTTTGACATCAACAAATCCTTCAAATAATGATACATGTCATCTTTTAAGCGATATTCCTTTAGGACTGATGTGCCAACACAACGAAGAAGTTACAACCAATGCTCTCAGAACATGTAAGAGACTTCAACAGACTACAAACACCACTTATAACACCACTTATAAACTTAATACAACTCAGCGGTGCAGGAATAACCCCCCAGCTGCATGATATTACCGTCATTAATAACAAGGGGCCTCCCAGCATTCACAAAGCTAATACCAGTCTCATCCACTGCAAACACACCCAGTGAGTTACGTTACATCTGGCTGCGAGACTGTGTGTATTAAAAGTCACACTAGTGCCAGTAAATAAATTATCCAATTCAGCATGGGAGCAGTTGCTAAGATTGGCTCTCCAGTCTCCGTCACGACTTCAATAAGCCTGAAAAAGAGCTTTTTTTTTTCCACATTCAGAGACATGAGTGACCCTCGGCGAGCTGACACAACGATAATAATGAATTTCAAGTTTGACGGGCACATTTCATTTTTTGACGGGAAAAGAGAAAAGGACATCAACCTGTGATGTTAACTTGCGTGTTGTTGTTTTTTTCTCTCCAAACGGAGGCCAACAATCCCGTCTTTGCTCTCTCTCTCTCTGCTGAAAACCATGAAGCCTTTTTTTTTTTTTTTTTTTTTTTTTTTTTTTAAATGGAGGAGCTTGCAGAATATTTTGCGCAGTAACTTCACATTGAGAGAATTAGCAGCCAGGTTAAATAATACTTTCTTCTTGACCTTAGTTGTATAACATTCGCATTAAAGGGCTGGATGTCTGTGAGACTTAAATGTCCGTATATCTGCCTTTAATTATCAATCATCAGCAGCAGCAGCTGAGCGCGGATACATCAAACAAAACAGCGGCATCATCGGTGTACTCACCTTGGCTATGAGGGAAATTAATAAGCTCCTTGCTGCTTATAAAGCGACAGGTCTTTTTTATTTTATTTTTTATATTCGTGACATTTCGTTTGTTTGTTTATTTAGTTTTCCTCCGAAGTGTAGGACGCCCTCTTCTTTTCACAGAGTCGAAGCTAGCCTAGCCGAGACAAGCGACAGCAGCTCTGACATTATCTACTTCCTGGAAGAATCTGGAACGAGGATGCCGGATTTGTCATTGGTTAAAACTCACAATGACGTAGCAACAGTTCCACTTTCCACGCCCATTATTTGTCAACATAATAACTGATACGCATTTTTCTCATTTCCTTTTTTTTTTATTTTTGACATTTAAATGTTCTATTTTGTTCTAGATGGGTTTTTTTTAATAACGTTGAATGTTTCTGACCCATTGCTCTACTTGTGACAGTGTTCTAAGGGAAATTGTTTCCATAATCGTCGTCAATTTTCTCAGATTTTTGACAAAATTGTTGCAACAAATAACCAAATCCATTATGAATATTGTCAAAACAGTTAATCTGTGGATGGATTAGCATTTTAGGGAAATACCATCGACTCGAGATCCTAAACGTGACAGGAATGTGATCTGAAACGTGTTACATAACATTCACTCTACACTGATCTCCACACTATTGCATGAACACAGATCATGTTTTATTAGGACATGCTTGTTGATAATGGTCACTGCATCTGAAAATAGTAACAATGATATTTAATTTCCTCACTCATACTACTTTAGAGAACAATTGCATGTATGACAAGTGTAAAATTGAAAGCGCTTTTTTTTACACTATAGGCCATCTACAGTATTATGCTGTTTAAATAGGCCTAATTTATTTCAAGTGACGGATGAGTCTTTAATTATCCGTGGCCAACAGTAAAACTCAATATTGACAATATTTAAAGAAACAGCGGTCCATGTTACTGTTATATCATAAGATCCACCTGATGGCGACAGAGTACAAGATATTCTTTATAAAGAAAATGCTGCAAGTGAGGAATACTTCCCATAATAGTCATCTGAAGTTTAATTAACCTTAGCTCTTGAGACAACACAGCTCATGTTTAATATACAGCTTTTCTTTTGATATTTATGATTACACTTTTGAAAGTAAAGGGGTGATGAACCATCCTTTGATTATAGGCTATGTTTGACACGTTTAAAGTTCAAAATTGTAAAGTATGCCTGAGGACTTCACATACAACTTTTACCACCTTCACAAACTCTTCTGACAAAACATGCAAAAGGAGATCACCATTCCTCTGGATGTAAATATAGTAGGCCTAGTCCTAAATAGCCTATGTAGCCTATAAAGACTTAGTCTATATACGAAACACATTTTAATATTTTAAATGGATGTAATTGCAATTGACCATGTATCTGCAGTAAATGATAACTGTTTGTAGGCCTTTTTGGTTCTTAAAATTGGATGTCCTCCCCAATGTCCATATGGCCTTTACTGCTGCCAGGGCCCTTGACCAAAGACAATAATGCCCTTAGAGCTGCAGTTGGTTGGCTGCCTAACTTTGCCTTCTTTTGTCCTAAATACTTGGCAGGTTGCAGATGCAGTTTTCTCACAGGGATTAATTTAAGGGAACCAAGTTAGTAGATCATTTAGATTTTCTCGGTTCTATCTCTTAGATTCAATATCAAGGAGACAGGGTCACCATGTTACTCACCAAGACTGGAGCAAAACATACAAACAACTTAGTGTCAGAAGTGTCGTCCTGAGCTGCAGATATTTCATTTTACTTGGAAAGGCTTCGCAAAATAATAGCCCGTCAATAATCTCTGCATGGGGGTTTATTCTAAACCACGCCTACCCTGTCAATCTGACGGCAGTGGTGCCTTCGCAGGTTCAACATAAACTAGTTAATTAATTTCACAATTCTTATATCGTGCATTAAGAAGTGGGCAATTTGTGCCAAGAAGACTATTTGGTGGATTTTCCATTACTTTGATTTCAGATCACCACATGCCTGATTTTATTTTTAGAGACAGAAGAAAAGGTGTGCTGCCTGAACCAGTTTATTGTTTGGTTTATAACAACTTAGTCTACAGGTAAAATCAATACAAATAAGAGGGGAAAGCATCTTGGATAAAGTTATAAAACTTATCGGAAACGCAAGACACCTCTATCAAAAAGGAAGAAATATTTTCCAAATATATTGGTTATATATGTCTGGTTGTGTATCGTGCACTTTGGGTTCTTTTCTGTTGAATTGTATTTAATTAGTCTTAGTATTTTGCATCTGTTATATTCTTACTGTTGTTAATGTTCTTCTGTGTTTGGTTTAGTTAGCTTTGTTCTTGCTGTTTGTCAAAGCACTTTGTAAACCTGTGTTTTTAAAAGGTGCTATATAAATAAAGTTATTGTTATTATTTACAAACAGCGGGCTTCCATGGATTTCAATGCCAGGAAACATCCCTTTCTGTTTACTGACGTGGCTCCGCCCATATCACGTCACATATAGTTACCCGGGTATTATCGAAAAATCCCGATGGCTCCCTCCTCTATCACAATAGCCCTCCCTTCACACGCCAGTTTGAATTGCCAAATATCCGACGGGACCTTAAAGCATCTTTAGTTGGAGGTTTAGCGGCGGCGCGTCGATTCCGTATTATTTACAGTCTATGGTCGATTCAGACATTCAAACCTGCGGAGCAAACGAATCAAGTCAAACAAACATGACACGTCAAGGAAATGTTACAACAGTAATTGCATCTACATTAACTCTTCTGCTTTGCCTGTGTTCAGCCAGAGGTGAGTCATTTTCAATCCACCTACCTACTCATAGCCTATCTGATTAATACAGTCTGTTTATGTGTAACTTCGACTCTAGTTACCATACAAATACTTTTATTTTATTTTATAAAGGCTAGCCTAGTCTGCGGTAGTGTCTCTTTTTGTTTGTGTTTGCCACTCGACTTTTTCACTTTTTCCATATAACCCACAAGAGGACTTTGCCACAGTGCCTCCTAGTCCTATTTTCCATTTCCATTTGAGTGACTCATTAAGAAGAGACTTTTTTTCCTTCTGTGTGTTGAAGCCTTTTAGTTTGATGGTGGGAAAAGTTGAATGCACAACTAAAAGGGAGGTGAGCAACAAGTTGTTCTATACATGTTGGTTCACAGTTTCTACATGCCCAAATGCTTCACAGCTGTGTCAACATAATAATCTCATTTGTATTATGTGGTAGTTATCATTTCCTAGCACTTAAATCCCCTTGAAGTGACGTCATTACTCAGGGTTCAGGCGATGTATAATTTGTATCATCCCAAGACTCTAACTTATTATTGTCATGGGATGAAGGGTTATTAAATGGGAGACAACCCTGTTATTACATGTGAGACTCTGTTATTTTCAAAGGGGTTATATTGTAAAATGCTGCTTTGCAAAAGATCTGTTTTTGTTTTGTTTTTGAGAGGTAAAGACGTTTTGTTTATGTTTTTATCCCGTGCAAGCACCACCCTGAGCAGTTTGTGAAATGTCATGATAATGCATCTTTTGGGTTAAACACGAGATTTTGCACAAATGTTATTTCTGCTTGTTTTTATAAAGCATCATTGCCTCCATGGAAACCTCTCTTGTCACGTTAAGAGGTGGAGCAGATGGAGAGAAAATAACACCATATGTGCAGTAGTCTGGAGCCAATGTGAGCCAGCTGTCCGCTCACCTATGAAGTCTAACCGAGGAAATGTGCTGTGAAAATAGGAGCGCTTCAAATAGTCAAAGTCAAACTTAAATAAGTAAAGTTGCCTTCCTTGTTTCCTTGCTGTATGTGGCTGCTGTACTCTAATGGTTATCACCCACCTGTCTGAAATTCAGGTGTACTGTGTGTGTGTGTGTGTGTGTGTGTGTGTGTGTGTGTGTGTGTGTGTGTGTGTGTGTGTGTGTGTGTGTGTGTGTGTGTGTCCTCAGCCACTCCTGAGCTACTGCACTATCATGTTGTGTAACTCAGTCCTGAAAGAGCCTCGTGCATCTGTGCAACCTGGCTAATCCTGCAAGCTCTTAATCCTGCACACAGATACAATATGTTGTCAGTATGCTTGCTGCATACAAATATTTTGTGTGTTTAAAATATATGAAGGGTTTCCATTACGGTCAATCGGATGCCAAATATTATTGTCAGTGCAATATGAAACATTAGCTGTTCGCGTGACTTGTTTTCATGCTCACACACTGCTTAAAACTAGAGCTGAAAAAGACACACTAAATACTTTTAGATAACTATTCACCTATTTGAATTGATTAAAACCTATTTAATTGATTGACGTTTAAATGCTCACCTTTTTTTGGGAGAATAAATTGTTCATTTTGATCATTTATTTTAACGGTTGCGTCTGGATTTCTTCTTTAGTCTCTAAAGTCTCTTTAGTTGTAAAGCCAGTCCACCCAGTTCCCAGAGGTTTGACATCAGCTGTATACGTTATGGTGACAAAAACTTAAAAGTATCATCTTTCTAAAACTAATCACTGTGAAAGTGATACTTTCTGCTGAGGGAATGTCTACATATGAACTATTTTCCTCAAGGTTTTACCCCTTAGATACCAACCAAAGACAAAGAAAGTCCAGTGCATCCAGTTAGTTTGAATGCAGACTCTGACGTGGCCTCTAATGAGTCAACATGCATGCTAAAGTAAAAAAAAAAAAAAAAACTCGAAAATTAAGAGTTAAGGTTTTGTGATTTTGACAGCAGAAGTGTGTGACTCATTGGCCTGCCACTCCCATCGGAGGTCTGCCATTATTTTCCTGATCCAGTCAGCAGCACCTGTGAGTCAGCACTCTGGGCCTCACAGCCAAATCTACTTGCCCTGCTGTTGTTTCAAACGTTTAATCCCAACTTTTGCACAAGATCTTTTTTCCCATTCCTAATACAGATTCGGGTTTAAGGATGTGACTGCATCACGTGCAACATTCAGAACACTGAAAAACAAGCAGGAAATGAAAATGAATAAGTGACAAATATAAATATAAACAGCATGTTGCACAGTAATCGTTAATTAGTAGTCCATTGAATACAATATCGACTTTTATCGTATGAAGTATGTTAAATCCTGTGTGTTGGAATCTAGATCCACTGTGTACCAGGAATTTAAACAATTGGATATCTCATGTAAAGCTGGACCTTGTAATCCTCAATCTTCAGAAACAAATTCAGCATCTATCCAATAAATAATCATTTAGACATTTTTCTGTGGGAAAATGTTAAAGATGCTCCCATAGTGTCTCCGGTGTCAGAATAATAATCTTTTACCAGCATTTCAATGTAAGAAATGTAAATGCTGTCTGAAATGATTTCTTTTGGGTTTGGACTGTTTAAAAAAAAGCCTTTGGAAAATGATTGTATTTTTGTATATTAAGGATTTCATCGGTGAAAAAGTAATCCATCCAAAATAATAAGACGATGAATCTAAATGCAAATTCAAGTTGAAGTTGTAATCTCAAGGTTTTGTCATGTTGATACTTCTCAAATAAATTCCTTCAATGCTATTTTGTCAGGTGTTATATTAAATTGCTGGAAGGCAAAGTGTTACGGTAACTTCCTACCTGAGACTACATCCTGAGTTCATCTCTTTCCCAGAATGAATTCAGACGCTCTCGACAAAACAAGAAGGAGCTTGATCTGTTGACCTGTGACTTAAACAGGGATAGCATAATAAGATCAGGAGGCCACGAGTTTCACCTACAAGACACAGCGAGGATTCAAAACAACAACATGTGCCATAGCTGCACTGGAATCCAAAGTAGCTACTGGCCGGGGTAGATTTTTTTGTATCCATGTAACAAGTGAAACATGCCGCCATTGAACAAGGAAATGGGTCAAATGTTGAATTCTTGGCTGTTTGAAGGGGTTGATGGGTAATAGTTGCTGCAGTTGGTTTTATGCCTTCCACTCTCAGTTTTCTCCCTCTCTTCTCTTCAGGCGACTACTGTGAGGTGAATGTTTGCCACAATGGAGCAACATGTGTGACAGGTGTAGGAGATGATCCATTCATCTGCATCTGTGCAGACGGCTTCAGTGGAGACACCTGCAACCTGACAGAGACAGGTACAGCAAAGAGGAACTTCATTTGGAGGGGGAAAAAAATGCAGTTTATATTTTGATCAAACGTCATCTCTTGCACTCGTTCTTTCTCTCAGGACCCTGCAGTCCGAACCCCTGTAAAAACGATGGGTCGTGCGAGGTCATCTCTCCCACAAGGCGAGGGGATGTTTTCAACGCGTACGTCTGCAAGTGCCAGCCCGGCTTCGAGGGAGCGCACTGCCAGATCAGTACGTTATTTCTGGATGAGATTCAAGAGTCTGAGCTGCGCCTATACAGCCACACTCTTACAACCGCCATTCATTTCTCTAAATCCTACCCTAAAAAGAATCTTGAAAGCACATATTGAACCTTGACTTTCAGGAGTTTTATGGTCTATATAAAAGCAAAGCCGCTAGGTACAAAAAAAACAAAATGATTGTATTTATTTATATGCAAGAAAAAGTAAGAAAGTAAAAGAGGGTCTTTGCAAGATTTGAACAGACTAGTCAGCAGGCATTTCTATAAAAATAGCAGTACGGTCCACTTTCAGCAGATTTCCACCTTAAGTGTGAACACATGAAGTCTTTCCATCCTGTCATAGCATTAGTGCAGAAAGAGGCGTGTTGTCAGTTCAGCAGTTTCATGAAAGGCTCTCTTTCAGCCGATTCTGCGCTCACTCTGTTTTGCTAATTAGCAAAGCACCACTCCAAGTCTCTTAGCATGCAGAGGCCATCCTCTCAGGTTCAACGCTGCGTCTGTTTGTGCTTAAGCTTGTACAAATCAGCTGAAGAATTTGGTAATAGTAAAATCCAACGTATCCTCTTATTATATTGACTAAGTTGGCTCAGAAATGTTGCTAAATCGTACAGTTAAAATACAGGAAATAGAGGATTATTTAGTCAGTGTGAAGGTCCTTTTAGAAAAGAGTTTCTGAATTGAAACAACTCTAAACTTTGTATGGATGAAAGTCATAAACACAACTTGAGTGCCTGAAAAAGATGTATTTTATGGTTCTAGTCTGAAAGAGGGACTCATGCTATGACTGAAAAGACATCTTTTTTGTGAATCAGCAGCTCACCCCAAAGCCCACACCCTGACCACCAATTGTAGTGTTTGTGCAGTCTGGACGTCTACTCCCAACTTTTTTCTAAATTTGAATCAGTCAGACGTCATAGGCTGGATGGGTGTCGACAGAAACAGTATCCCATATATAACGTTCAGTCAGTGCACATGAGTTGATATGAAAACATATGATAATAGCTTCATAGTAATTCAGGTCGCAATGCAAAGTTCGTAAATAACAGCTGTATTTCACCTGCAGGTTAAGCTAAAAACAAAACAGCTATATTTATCAGTATCACGTCAACAGTGTTGCCAAACAAGTGGAAAATAATCCCAGAGAGAGAATTTAGCAAAGCTATTTCTCAGTCGGTCTCTTCATGGGATCATCTCTTGTGTTGTGCCAGTTTTGTCACAGCATTATAGTTATTTGTTTCTAAGTGGTGACCAATCCTCTTAGTGTTAACAGGAACCAGAATTAAACAGACACATGTGTTATTATGTCAACACGACGTCTGCGTTACTCCTGAAGTCTGTTTCAGTTCTTACTTTGTATCTCACTCCCTCAAGTCAAATGCACATCGGCTTTATCATGTGACGCGATGGAGCTAGATGGATACGTTAAGCCTGAACAACGTATGGGTTTACCTTATCATGTGTTCTTAACTGATGGGGGAAGTTTCTGTGTGAAATAGTTATTCGCAAATATGCCAATGCAATTCTGACAAATGTAGCTCAGTGTCGACTTTTCATTTGCAGCCACCTTGGCTTCCTTTCCGAGAGTGGTATTAGATTGTATATGTCCATATTTTATACTAAATTGAACTGTGTTAATGGTGAGAATATTTCATTACGTTGTTAGCTGCTTAACAAAAAGATAGAATGTACATGTATACATTATTCAAGTGCTAGTTGAATTAATATATAGCAGAAAACAAAGCGATTACATCATTCCAACATCCTCCATATAAGCTTTGCCCACTTTGCTATAATCCAAATACACATTTTTTTTTTTTGCCATGAACAGATACAGTTAGTATTTATATGTTACACCCAAAATATAAACACAAATACACACTTGTTTTTGTAAATGGTTTAATGTATATTGGCTTGTTTTTTTTTGAGGATCTGCTTTGATCAGAAAGGACCCAGAGCTGCACTCAGGCCTGTTGTTGAAACAGTGACAATTCTTTTATTTAACCTTTATGTAACCAGGTTGTTCCCATTGTTGAAAATAATAATTAATCTTTCAAGGGAGACTTGTTCAAGAGAGTCAGCAGCACAAAAAAAACAAAGTTACAGACAGAGACACAAAGAGAGACAAAGTGTAATTCACAAACACTCAAATATGCTTTAAAAGAGAAACATCTGAGTCCAACAAAGAACTTTATAGGACTCAGCTGTGCAACCAGGCAAGCTAAAAACGTCAACATTCATATAACCTGCTTCCCAGTCTTTCATTTTAAATTAAAAAACATTTCATGACACCAGCTCGTTGAGTACAAGTCATTCTGCAATAATTTCCAGGCTGAGGGTGCAGAACACAAAAGCCTTCTTCCCAATTTCTGTCTGAGCGTTCGGGATAACTGTCTCAATGCATGAGTTATTTTTAGGGAAACTTCATGAACATACATTACGCACCAAACTATAAATTCCACTGAAATAATTAAAATACTGTTTGTATGCAAAGACTATAAATACAGGTGGATCTAAAAAAAAAAAAAAAAAAAAGAATAGAGAGAGAAATTAGAAATTATTTCTGTTTTGGTATCAATCGGTTAAAGGAATGATTATATATTTTTTACTGATCAAATGAGTGCACTGCTCTAGAAAATATCATCTTGACGTGTATGAATCTGCATGTCTGCCACCTGGTGGAGATTAATGAGCATTACAGGGACAGCGTGCAATGGGGATCCAAGGAGTTACTCAGACTTGTTTTGTTTCCATAGTTTCTACAGAGGAGAGTAAGATTTCTATAAAAAGCATCTTAAGTAGAAGGTCATAACACAGAAAAATGTTACAACTTATTCAGCTATATTTTTTTGGAAATAAAGCATCACTGCTCAATCTGAGTATTTAGTTTCCACTGTATGGGTAGTTTGTGGACAAAGAAAATAATGGAAAATAATAACGTACGCTGTGCCCTTTCTCCAGATGTGAATGACTGTGTGGACCAGCCCTGTAAGAATGGAGGGATGTGTCGAGATCTTGATGGAGACTACAACTGCCAGTGCCCCTCCCCATATGTTGGAAAGCAGTGCCAGCTACGTACGTTTACTAATATTGTGTGTTTGGATAACCTGCTGCTGTAAACGCCACCATTTCCCAGTTTGGGATCAATAAAATAATTCTATTATATTCTATTACATTCTATTCTATACTATTACCATTTAACATGTCATTACACGAGGAAAAAAATGTTTACCAAAATGTTAAGAACTGTAAATACTGTGTTTCTGTAGTTTGCAAAAACAAAACGTGTTGCATCATGTGCTGTATATGGTGAACTTTTTGGGGTAAACATCTAACATACATGTATACATTCATCATTAAACAGAACCCTGTCTTTATAAAAACACAATTTTCCCATTACAGTAAAACTGTAACTTTGCTTTGGTCCTTATAACCAGTGCTAAATAAACTGTCGAGAGGTTAAATGAATCGGAGTAACTACACTCACACTTTGATGATATTCTAATGGTTGTGCTTCAGGCTGCATCTCTCTACTGGGGATGGAGGGCGGAGCAATCGTGGAGTCCCAAATTTCATCCTCCTCTGTTCACTTCGGCATTCTGGGTCTTCAGCGGTGGGGTCCGGAGTTAGCTCGACTCAACAATCAAGGCATCGTCAACGCCTGGACATCGGCCGCACACGACAGAAACCCCTGGATTGAGGTAATAAAAGATGTGGCACGTTAAAATGACGGGACTGACCGGTTAAAGCTTTTACCCTATCTAAAGAGTTGACTTCCTGCTTCAACAGATTAATATGCAGAAGAAGATGCGTCTGACGGGCATCATCACACAGGGTGCCAGTCGTATGGGCACAGCTGAGTTCATCAAAGCCTTCAAGGTGGCGAGCAGCTTTGATGGAAACGCTTATACCACTTACAGACTGGATGGCCAACGCAGAGACAAGGCAAGTAGACATTATGAGCATCATGTTTCACGCTCTTCGTACCAGCATAGTCTCACACAGTGGATGTTCATTTCCTATGTTTTTTTTGTGCTCTAGGTTTTCGTGGGCAATTTAGACAACGAGAGCACAAAGACGAACCTTTTTGACCCTCCCATTGTGGCCCAGTACATCCGAATCATCCCCGTGGTTTGCCGCAGAGCTTGCACGCTGCGCATGGAGCTGGTGGGCTGTGAACTCAATGGTAAACATGCAGAACACATGCAGAGAAAAACGTAAAGCTTTTTTAGAAACTTGGCTGACAAAGGTGGATAAAAAAAAAAACAAGCTGGATATTAACGCAAAGAGACATTTAACCCACGTTGAGTTCAAGCCGAATCAAGTTACAGCCTCTGTGAACTCGACATTTTATCCAGTGGTTAAATGTATATGAGTAAATTCCTTAGTGGCTTGTTTTACTGACTTGTTTCCGTCTTGCTGTGGTTACAATCACAAGCATAATGACAGTGGAAACGAGTTTATGTAACATGGTCTCAATCTGACTGTGGTTACATTGATATGTATAGTATATATATATGTGTAGTCTTAACAGGGTCGGAGGTTTGGAAATGCAGCAATAAAAGTTGTAATTACACGCACAGTTCATAAGGAGACGGAAACACAACACTCCATCCTTTTGCCTTTATTGTCTTTGAATGTAACAGCTACAACTTTTACAGAGAAACGCATCAACTGAAAACAAACTGCATGTACATGTACTGTATATCTCTTTGCAAAGCGCATTCTTCTTCTTCTTCTTCTTCTGTTTGTTTTTCTGTTTCGATTTTAATAAGTCACTTATCCTAAAAATATTTCTTGGGTGACGTAAATTCATTTTCTTTGGGTGTAATCATTTCTCCTTCTTTTCTCTCTCTGTTGCTTTTGGGTTTCTTCCGTCCTCCTTCCTTCCGTCTCCTCTTTGATTCACAGTTTATTCAAACACGGCAGGTTGCTCAGCCTCTCTGGGAATGAAATCTCGCCTCATCTCGGACGGGCAGCTAACCGCCTCCAGCACTTTCCGCACGTGGGGCATCGACACCTTCACGTGGTACCCTCAGTTTGCTCGACTGGATAAGCAGGGAAAGACGAACGCCTGGTCTCCTGCTCACAACAACCGCTCAGAGTGGATACAGGTGAGAGAGACCTCAGCTACAAAGTGTAACGTTTTCGTGAAATGCTGCTGTTGAGTATAACACTGTTTTCTTTGCTCCTTCGCCAGGTCGATCTGGAGAAGACAAAGCGCCTCACAGGCATCATCACTCAGGGGGCGAAGGACTTTGGTGTGGTGCAGTTTGTGTCTGTGTTTAAAGTTGTTTACAGTAATGACGGAGAGGCGTGGAGTACAGTGAAGGAGGAGAACAGCGGCAATGATAAGGTCAGACATGTGAAATCACTATTACAATTTACTTTTTACTCTCATTTGTAAAAAAAAATTATGAAAAAAAATTATGAAAACTAGTAAGAAACTATTTTCTAAGGTGTTATTGTGAAATTCTAGTTCTATTCCAACACAGAACCTACATTTATTTATTTAAAAGCAGACAGGCAGAATAAAGTAATATTTCCAAACAATGAAGAGCATCATGCAAAAGTTATTCATAATGATTGTAATAATTATATCTTGAATTTATACAGCGTCTTTCAATGGACCAAAGGATGCTTAGTTTCATGTACACATATGAAAAGCAGTGGGACGAAGTATCAACTGCAAAATTGACCAAAACCTGCTCTGTGATTTATAACTTCAACTCAATAAGTATTTTTTTCAACATTTAACCACAACCTTACCATTTACCTGCAGCTTTTCCAAGGCAACATCGACAACAACACCCACAGGAAGAATCTATTTGAGCCTCCGTTCTACGCTCGGTTCATCCGGGTCGTCCCCTGGGAGTGGCATGAGCGCATCACTCTACGTATGGAGCTGCTGGGCTGCGATGACTAGAAGCTCGTCGATCGACCGTTTCACCGTGCTCCACACTCGCCCCCATGTCCCCAAGAGGATCGTCTGTTGTGACCTTCGTTTTGGATAAAGATCCTGTTGACTGCTGGGACTGTTAACACTTGTAGCACTTTCTGAATACTGACCTTTATTTGTTTACGTACACAGAATTGATTGAAGGATTTGATCTTAACTGGCTTCAGACTTAAATAATCTTTGCATAGATATAATCCCAGTCCATATTACTTGCTCCTTCTTATATTTGAAATTGTTTCAGGTCCCTTTTAAGTCTGGAGACGTGATGATTACCAGTTAAAAATGTCTTCCTTCTTTACAATCTAAGTTAACAATACCGCTTTTCATTCTATTTTTTGACGGCACAAACTCGAGGTCAGGAAAAAAATTATATTTTTTTGCACATTGTTTAACTGCTACTGCTAGCATAATGGAAAAAAGGCCTGTGCAATATAGAATATGATCTGGTATCTTAACTGTAATGGAAAATAATAATGAATGCCCGAGAGTAGAAAATGTAGGCCTTTCAACTTTAAACTGCTGCACGCTGTAGGGATTTCTTGTGTGCACAATGCTGTTCAGCTTCATTCTTAAATATGATTTCATCCTTTTTACAACAAATGTGAATAGAAATATTTTTAGAAAATAAAACATTGTTTTTTTATTCATTGTTGATCTTGATCTAAGATCTTTTATTAAATGTTAAAAGAAACCATTGTGTGTCTGTGTGTGTGTGTGTGTGTGTGTTTGTTGATCAAGATACCTACAAAGTCTTTGTCATGCTGCAGTATGAGCTGTGATGAATGACAAACAAGATTTGTGGCTGATTTCTGCATGCACAGACTGGTCAGTGAGCAACATTAAGGGGACACAGGCACCAGCATGGGTTGGAGAAACATACTGATCCTTGTTTCATTCTGTTCTGTCTTAACACTATACAGAATGGACAGATAAGCAATTCCAGCTGCTTACACTGTTTTATTATTTAGCACCTTGCACACACAACTCATACAACATGGCAACCCTTGTTGTACAATAATCAAAACAACAATACTGTTGTTACAATACTAAAAAAAAAAAAAAAAAGCACTGGCTTTTAAAGGAGCATTTCTGCCTTGTTCAAACACTGTTACAATCCAAAAAAGTAAGCCTCCTTTTGAAAGTTATCACTCCCTAAAGCTGACATTAAGGGGAGGTGCAGTAGGACTTTGTGGTTGACTTGGTTTAAAAATAACAGAATCAAACTTTTTGAGGAAGGCATTTCTCTCCACACTAAACTTCCAGACTCTGGCCTTCTGTTTACAAAAAGTGTTAGCCACTCAACTCCATGTTTAACTCAAAGTCCTGCTATGTCAGGCATCCTGAAACAGCTTTCATCTATCAAATGAATGCAGTGAAGGACGGTAAATCTCTTAAAGATCCTGTCCTCATTGTGTATGTTCATGCCTCCTGTATTTGGGTGTGTTTGTCAAGCATGTTTAAAACACCATCACAAGGATGTCCCATTAAAAGATCACAGTGCTTCCAGGAAAACTTATTACTCTTCTGTTAATTTCAACCCTAAACCAAATTTGGATACTAATATTGTACTGGAAAAACCTCCATAGATTTTGTATGGGTCAGACTGTGGTGGACGATAGCAGAATACACACAATATGTACTATCATTATTTATTTATAATAGATTTATTTGCAGGCTTTGTATGCCTGTATTTAGAGACAGGACATAGAGTCAGAAATCAGGTAGAAGGACAGACTGAGTAATGACATGCGGGAAAGGAGCCGCAGGTCAGATTCAAACCTGGGCCACTCGCTTGAAGTACGACAGCCTCCATACATGGGGCGCCCTCACTAACCACTAGGATCAAGGCGCCCTACCAAATTTATTTTAATATAAAAAAACATATTTCAAAATATATCATTTAAAATTGAAGCTTTCAAACATTGTCAAAATGGAAAGGTTGACTCTTCATCGCAAACATATGATGTTACAGTGCCCTCTCCTGGTGATATCCTATAATAACAAGCGGTACAAATGAAACAGGATAAACATAAAACAGTGAAGAGTAGATATCTTATTTCATTTGTTTTATTTCATTCCTTTGAAGCCGTACAATGTTAAGAAATACTTCATTAAAAGACTATACACGTGATATACTTAAACATTATGAACTGTGATGAATAAGAACACTAAACATATAAAATACCAAGATATATTTATCTTTCATTTTTATTTATCCTTTATTTAGCAGGGTACACTGAGACCGAGGTGTACTGCAGCAATATGACCAAAAACAAAACAAGTCCCAGTTACTTTCCTTAAGTAGCTCAGACACAAAACACCAGACGATACCAGAGAGGACAGCTTCAAAGTCATTTGGTTAAGGGTGTAGCAACACTAAAAAGCAGACTTTCACAATTCAAACCTCGGTATTTTTTTATGGTGATCCAGTTTCGAGATCTGGTTATATGGTGTGAAATATGATAAGGAGGAATCTTACCAATGAGTGCCCTGAAAATAAACAGAACACTGTGCTGCTTTCTTTGTTGAGCCAGAGGGTCAGCCTACAGAGGGATACAGGAGTTTTCGGGGTTCAGCATTACTTTTTAGAGTTTCCTGTAATGAGTTAGAAGTATTATTAATATCAGAATGTGCAGCAGATAAATACTGTCTGAGTAACTGAAAGCGTATAGCTTTGCAACCATATTCTCGAGCTGGCTCTTTGAGGGTTTTTTAAACTTGATTTATTTTCATTTCAATGTTTGACCTGTTGGTTTTAAATGAACTAACATCCATTTGTATGAACGTGTACAGTATTTATGTTACATACACTGCTCATTAGTCATAAGTTCAATGTGTTATGTAATGTGTTTTTTCTAGTTTGCTTAATTATAGAAATGATTCTGACAGGGTTTAGTGAGTTCTTGCTTCAGTAATGTAGGGAGGGATTCAATTATTTCTGGTATTTTTTCACAGATCATCTTCAAGTCTCAGTTAACATCTCTCATTGCTGTATGCTTCAGGACAGCGTTGACTTCTATCTTTTAAAAACACAGCTTTCTCTCTATATATGTTTAAGCACATTTCCTGACTATTTGTCTACAACTTTGATTTTACTATTTAACGGCAATGCGGCCTCACCCTTTCTGATAAGATCTCTTCGTGCTTTGCATTTTAACTGAAGCTTAAATCTGCACGCTGATGAAGATCTACTGTTTAACCCATTACATCAGGTGCTTTTAACTTCATGGCAGATGTTACATGTTTGGCTTTTACATCACTGGAAATTTAACTCTTTTTTTTTTGTTGCAACAAATGCCAGAAAGATCCTGGCTCACATGATTTCCATCTGACTCTTCTCACAGAAACTGAACTTCCACTTACTCCTCAAAAACAAAGCTATCTTCATAAAAGTAGTAGCAGAAGACACAAACAACGCTCAGAGATCAATCACTGCAGGAGCTTTATTGAAAAAGGACAACAACTCGTATTTCAGGCTTACAAAACAACAGCTTAATTTTTCTCTTTTTCAGAAGCATATGTAAAAAAATAAAAAAATAAAAAAACTCCAGCTGTGAGACAATTTCTCCTTCTGTACATCTGGATGCTGAGGTAGGCTGTAGTTATCTTACAGAGGTCATTTTTGGTCATAACTAAAAAAAAATATTACAAAGCAAGCTATCAGTTTTGAACAAGTTAAACCCTCGTGTTTAAATACAGACGGACTGAGGACTTTTATCCAGAGTGAATGTTGGGATGAAGTCTTCTTATCCTGTTAGGTTTTTACACTTCAGGGTACTATACCACTTTACTTCTACAGTTCACAAAGGGCGACTTCTGAATACTCTGTACACACTAATCTGAAATAATGTCTTCATCGTTTTGCACAAGTTTGTGTCTACAGGTACATTTGCAAACATCACAAGGTTTCTGCACGATGGAATAGTTGAAATGAAAGTCAAATTATGTTGTGTTGTACACTTTTGAGAGAGCCCAAAGCTTAAAACACAAATATGATTTTCCTCCAGTGAACAAGATGCTGTCGGAAAAATATACCCAGGTTGTGAACATGAAAGAATGAATAAAGCCCAGAGAGGAAACTTTTCTTCTAACAATACTCTCCATAACACGTGATTAACTCTGAACAATAAAACTGTTTTTGACGTATACATGTGTCACTCAAACCCCGCCTCCAAGAGGATTCTCTCGATTTTCATCCTGACATCGGCTTTTTTCGGAGCGGACAACTTTTTGAACAGTTTGGCGAGGTTCATGAAATAGAACTCGTCACAGTCTTGAGGTTTGTCAAAGTTTGTCTGTACAGTTTGGTGACGTTTAAAAGACACGGGCTTCTCAGGTTCATATCCACAGTCCCGGATGGTGAACCCGTGGCTGCTGCTTGCTTCGTGGCTGTTTTGGTCGTCTGAATCTGTGCTCATGTGCAAATCTTCAAAGCCATCGTGGTTGCTCTGTGAAGGAAAGACAAACATCTTAAAAGATCAAATCTGTGAGGTCTAATAGCCAAATCACACAATCATGCAGAGCTGTGTTAGTTTATAAGGGGGAACTATTTATGATGAATAAGACAATGCTAGCTATCATTTATTAACAAGTCTGTAAAACATGTTAATTGCGTTAGGAATGGCTTTCTTAGATGTTTGCAAAGAAGTTGTATAAACTTTATTTAACTGGTCCCTTACACAAGGATATTTATCTCTAGATTCTATTACTCTTCAAACAAAGCCGCCTCCTTCTCTGTGCGTCTAATGACTGCACACGTACAGGATGCTGCAAGATCATTACCACGAAAGCCACTTTTGCACAAGTGCAGCATGACTGAGGTAGTAGCCTGTGCCTCTCTTTACACTCACTGCCCATACAGTCATTACAAAGATAACCGATCCACAAAACTTAACAAGAGTTTTCATTTTTCACAAAGAACAAAAAAACAAGCTGCATTGAAAGCAAGGAAGGTTTGCTTTGTGTTAGAAAATATACATGAAACATGAGAGAGAAGACATTTACTATGAAAGAGAGTGTTACATATTTGCATGAGCTCAGTCTTACCATGCCTTGTGACGAGAATTCAAACGCCTCAGTGATCAGCAAAGGAGCCATCAGTCCCTCAGCTTGGGTTGATCCCTGGACATCCGGCCGGTGGACTTTGTGGCACGTCAACAGATGTTTCTTGAAATCTTTTTTACGGATCAGCGTTGCCGTACAGTACAAACAGTGGTAATGACACTGTTTTCTGCACTGCAGTCCGCATTTGTGGATCGTGTACTCTTGAGAAAAAACGACAACACATTTGATCATGAAAAAAAAGCAAGGTCACCCTCTGCACACCCTACTGGAAAACAGCGGAGCAGCTTCTCCAACAGACTGATACAACTCCGCTGTCACAAGGACAGATACAAGAAATCTTTCTTACCGAAGGCCATAACTCTGTACAACAGCTCACCTCATGCGAGCAGAGAACTGTCATCATGATAATATCTGTCTCTCCATACTGTAATCTGTTAAATTTACAAATGATCCCCGCACTCATGTTCACTTCATTTGTCTGTCTACTCGCCGTTATATTGTTTATTTTCTGCTTATAATATGTCTACGCTCATGCACTTTAACGAATGTCAATACTGTCTAGTTACAACTCTGTTTTTGCATGTTTAC